TTTTTTTTTTTTTTTTTTTAAATTAATTTTATTAAATTAATGAAGAGTCAAATAAAACTGAAAAAATAATCATGTTATATTCATTAACTAATCGAAGTAAATTCAAATTAATAAATAGAACTATTATAATGCATTTAGTAGTATAATACAATATATATTACTGTTATTAATTATTTGTTTTTAGTAATGTTTTTATGTTTTTATTTCAAGAATTTTTATTATAATTTTCTACAATATTATATATAAGGCTTAAACTAATAAATGTTATAGTTTAGTGAAATAAATAATTTTATTCAAGAGAAAGTAATATTGAACTGGTATTAAAATTAAACATAAATTTGAATAAACATAACTTAGTATTTAAGAAAAATGGAAACTTAAAATAAAAATAAACGATTCCGGGAAATACTAAAATTTTTTATAAATATAGATAAAAATTAGCTATAGAAAATTTTTTCAAATAAGAATATAAAGTAAATATTCAAAACAGAGTAATAATTAAAATAGAATAATAATGGGATAAATAAAATGATAGATAAAACAGAATGAATTATGATGAAGTTTTAATAGATAAATAAAAAGAAAATTCTATGAATAATATGCAAAAATGAATCCTAAGATAACATACAAAATCCAATAAGTAATGAAATAAATTTAATGAAATCAAAAGAAAATTTACAAAATTTTACAAGAATATTTCTAATTTATAACTTGGTATAAATAATAATTCAAATTATGAATTTTATTTCACAAATTTACAGCATTATAAAATTTATATTCCTAATTTTTTTTTATAGTATTTTAACAGAATTTATCCATATAGACAAGTAAGTATTTTCAATTTCTATTTTCTTTTTATGAATATAATTATTTCACATAAGTTTTTATCGCATTACATTATATAGAAGTTCAACATAAATGATTTTCTTCTAGTATGTAATATTTTATGTTTTATCCATATTACAATGATATTACATTACTTTTCATGTTAGCATTTTGAAAAATCATTTACTTCTATTTCTTTTCTATGTACTTTATTTTTTGCTATACTATATGTTACAATTTTATTTAACTATTCTATCTTTTTTAATATTATTTTTTCCATATCTTTATGACAAACAGGGAAAATATATTTTTAGACTTAATTAAAACTATATTTCTCTGTTTTTAATTGTATATTATCTTTCTACTTTTTAAGGTATATTCTGTATTATTATATTATCTATTTTTAAATTATAATTACAAATCATAGATTTAGGATAAAGTAGAAATATTAAATTAAAACATAATATAATGTAATTCTTTCAGATTAACTTAATAATAATAATTCTTTCTTAATAATATATAAGTAAACCTTTTTACCTGACAATATTTAAATTTGTTATCTTTTTCCTATAAGTTTATTAATGGTATATTTCCATAAAATTATGTTTAGGAATATTTTTTACTATAATAATATGATCCTTTTCAATGAATTATTGAAGTGTTTAATTATTATTATATATAATAATAATTATTAATTCCTATTTTGTGCTGACATATTTGAATAATTTGTTCATTTATTTTTCTTAGTGTTATATTTTTTTCTAGTGATAAATGAATCTTCATTTTAAAATTATTAAAAAAGAGTTAATTTTTTAATTACTAAGTATACGAAAATTTTTTACACTAAATATTTTTCTTTCTTTGAAAAATATAAAATTGTAAAAATAATATGTAATATTTAAGGTAAAGTGGAAAGATATTTACATAATATTTCCAATTTTTAAAAATAGACTTCAATCTTCATTCCCTAATATTATAAATGAATAATGTAACAAGTCCTTTTAAATAAAATAAAGATAAATTAAATCTAAAGAAATTTCATTCTCTAAATATGACTAAAAGATAAATAAATAACAAATATATATATAAAGGCAAAATAAAAAATAAATATTTTTATAGTTAATAATAAATTGACTATCTAGTATAATGATTTTTTTTTTGACTATTTTTATTATATTAACAGAGTTTTTCATTTGCCAGAATTTTTGCAATGTTTAAATATAACAATTTACTTAATAAATATTTTGAATTATTATCATTTTATCAAATTTATATTTACATAAATTTACTATGAAAATGATATAGCTGTAATAAATTGCAAATATCTCCCATTTTATAATATTGACTTTTTATTGTAAAAATAAAAAGAATATCTTACATAATATTGAAATGTTGAAAAAGCAATTATAATTGAATGTTTTTCTAATTGCCATAGAAATAAATTAGTTCTTAGATAAAAAAAATCTAATAAATAAAAGGAACAAAATAAAAACATGTATTTGGAATTTAACTTAAACGAAAAATATTATTTAAACCATGGTAATTATATATGAGTAAAAAAAATTAATATTCCAAACAAAGTCCAAATTAAAAAAAATTATATAATTTCCTTTGAAAATATCCACTCGCTTATGTGATAATTAAATCCGTTAGATAAGAACTATTATCAAAACTTCACAAAAATCAATTCATTAAAACATATATAAGCAATATAAATTTCTATATATAAAATTAAAAGTATAAATGTAAGACAATGGTTGTAGTTTAATTAAATTTCTATAATAAATATAAAATATTTTAATAAGAAAATTCTATAAATTGTATTATTTAAGTACAAAATTAAATTTTTCTTATTTAGAAACATATTCGGCATATTACTATTTCATTTTATTATTTTCATTTTTCATACCTTTAAGTGCATTTTTAAAATTATAATGATAGAAATATTGACATCAATTTTTTTATTATTTATGTGCCATTACTTTAGCATAATTTTTTTGTATATAATTAATATATATTGAAATTATAATTCAAATATAGTTTTCTTTATAGACATATTATAAAATTTGTTTTAAACATTATCTAAATTCTGCATTGTAAATTTTCTACTAAATATAAATTCATAAAGATAGAACTTTTCTGAGAATTTATTATAACAAGTTTTTATATGTAAGCATTATAACATGTTAAAATTAATACAAAATGCTTATTAGTTTTTTTTTATTATTAAATTTTGCTATATTCTCTTTTGTAATATTTTTGCATTAAAAAATAGAAAAGTTATAATGAATAAATAGAAAATTTTCTAAAAAAAATTTTTTTTAATGAATTTTTATAAAATGTCTACATTTTATGTGAAATATAAGAAAATAGTGAATGCAAAAAAAATAACATTCTAAAATTTACATATGCGCGTATTGTTTTTAAAGAGTTTAATGAGCATTAACAAAAATAAAACAAGGAAAAAAACTGAATATTGTTATTGTGAAAACATTTAAAAGATCTAATAACTATATATCCACTAAAAATTAAAAAATTTTATAAATAAATTTTTTCATTTATTACAAGAATTTTCTAGCGATTACAATAGAAATTTATATAAGTTCTAGATAAAAATATACAGTGTAATTTTTTTTTATAATCTTTTTGCTTTTTTATTAAAAGAAGTAAAATATAATTTGAGTAAAAAATATTTATCAATTTTGTTCTGTTTTTAAATTTATATTTTTATCTTTTAATAATTGATTATTTTATGAGTAATATATTTTCATTTTAGAATATTGATAAAGTAGCATTCAATTTTCTTATTAAAATGTAGAACGATATAAACCAAAAGCAAGAAATATGAAATAGATAAAAAATTAAATTTCCTAGAAGGAAATATAGTTTTTATATTTATTAAAGTAAAATAAAAATAATTATAAAAAGATATGGAAATTTTTTTGGAATAATAAAATTGAAACTTTTGATGAAAACCAACAGAAAAAATTAATATACTCATGAAAAAAATTTAACTAAATTGTCTCTTCCTATGGATTTTAAATGTTAATATATTAAATACATAATATTATATTCTAACATTGTATTTTTTTTTATGGTAATCCTTGATATAAATAAATATGTATATATAAATGAATATTAAAAAATTTTAAGAAAAATTTACAACTTAAAATTGTTGTTAGTTTTAATTTATCACATGCAATAATATATACCTTAATTATTACTTTTATTTGTAGTATATAAATGTTATTGTATGTATTTTTACAACTATTGGTTTCTTTACATAATATTATAATTATTTAGCTATATTAAAAAGAAATTCTAAATGAAAATAATTTCAAACCTACTCTTTTTTCTTTTTTTTTTTTATATTTATAAAAAAAGGTATCCCTTTTTGAAATATTATCTTAAAAATATATTTTGTCTTTTTCATAATTTATTCACCTTAAAAAATTTAAAGAATTAAAATAAGAAAAAAAATTTTTTTTTACATATTTTTTATAAATTATGAATATTTAATATTTCTCAAATCATGTATATTTATTAAATTATTTATAAAATGTTATATCTAATTGTTAAACTTGTAAAATAAAAACAGATAAATTCTACGTTTAAAAGAAAAAATATAAAATTTTAAGTGCACTTATGTACTTTTAAATGTTAACAATATTCAGAAATTTAACATTAAAAAAAAAATTTATTTTTTAGTAAAAATATTATGAATAATTTTAATTATTTTTTTGTATTTCATTTCATGGATAATATTTAAATTATTAGTAATGAAAACAAAATATTTTTTTAATTGTTGGAATATAAAAATTTTTATTTACAATATGAAAAATATTTGAAATATCTTTTAATAATGCAACATATTGTAATTATATTGTATTTCTTAATGTTTTTTAACTAATGCTATTTTTTAATTTTATTTTAGAAAGAAAATTTTATTTCGAAATAGTAAATATATCAATAATTTTGAAGAACAAAAATTTAAAAAGAAAAATATTATGTTAAAGAAAGAAGTAGTAATTCAAAGGAAAATATAATTTCTAAGTTTTAAAATTTTTATAAGATTCATAACTATTAAAAGTAAAAAAAAGCCATATTTTTCTATTTTAGCAATATTTCGCATGCAAATATATGTCTTTTAAATAAAATAATAATTAAATTTAAAAATGCATAATCTTTTAAAAAATACATTAAACTTCGATAACTTTAAGAATATTAAACTTGATTTAATTAACAAAATAAACTCTTCCGATAACAACGATTATCATGAAGAAAATGAAGTATTTAATTTTTTAAGAGATAAAAAATTTGTTTCTGATGAGTTGTATTTTAGTAAACGATGGAATAACGAGAATGTATTTTCAGTTAAAAAAGAATTAAGACATATTAATAATTTGAAACTTTACTTGAAATCTATCAAAAATTTTAGCATTAATGAAGAAACAAAATTAAATAAAAGTAGCAGAGAAAATAAAAATGTTCATGAAAGAATTATGAATTTTTCCTCATATTTTAAAAATAGGAATAATGATGATATTGATGGAAAACACAACATAAAAAATGTGTTATTAATTAGCACTCTTTTCAATATGGGGAAAAATAAACATAGATTAACAGATAATATGTTCCGTAAAACATTGTATAAAAAGATAGGAAAAAATGGAGTTAAAAAAAAAAATAAATATGAAAAGCCTACATTAAAACATATTTTTGAAATAAAAAATAACTGTAAAAAAAACTTGAGAATAACTCATTTGAATAGGATAAATCGTAACATAAATGTTTATCGTTGTTATTATAAAAAATATAATATTGAAAAAAAATATTTCAGAAACAAAGAAATATATTTAAAACAAAAAATTCCATTTGTAACTTTTACTAAAAAAAATAAAGGTTTTATAAAAAAAGGTAAGAATATAGAAACTTCTATTAAAAATTTTTTTTTTAATAATAACAATAATAAAAACAAAAAAAATACTAATGAAATTTACTTTAAAAAAAAAAAATTATATTTAAAAAGCAAAAAATATATTTATGATGAATTTAATAATAATATAGGTAGTAATATAAATAAATGTGAAGAATTAATTGAAGATAGAAAATCATTTAAAAGAAAGGAACATTATAGTAATGATAAAGACATTCCTTTAGAAAAAAAAAATTATTTGAATTCATCTTTAAATACAAAGGTAATTCGTCTTTTTCTCAACTATTAAAAAGCCTACTTTGAAATCATATATCAATTTAATGGCAACATAAAAATATACAAAAAGTGTATATTTACTAAGATTTTACACATTAATTAATTTGAATTGAAATTATATATAATATATATATATATATATATATATATATATATATATATATATCAATGAAATACTTAAAATTTTAAATAAATATTTTAATTTTTTAATTGATAAATTTTTTTTTAGGAATATAACAGAGACACAATAAAGGAGATAAAAAAAAATATGAAGAAATATGAAAAAAATTATAGGTATGATAGAGTTAAAAATTCATGCAAAGGGGGTTACTTAAGCAATTTAAAGTTTCTAATATTTAATAAGGAATGTAAAGATGGAACTATTATATTCCAAAAAAAAAATATAAAAAGCGATGAATTAAAAAAAAATAATCAATATTTTAAAATCACAAAATTTGATGGTATAAGTAAAACATCTTCAAATTTGAAAAATATTAACTTAAGTATATTTAGGAGAATGAGCACAAATAATCAATATAAAAATAAAAGAGAAGTTAAAAGAAATAAAGACTTACGTTCCGATTTTCACAGTAATAATATTAATTTTTATGAAACACTGATTAAGAGAGAAAAATACAAAGAAGAAAGTAGAAATAAAGATTTTTTAGATAAAAGTGGAGTTCAAAATAATGGAATGAAAGAAATTAAGGAGAAAATTCAAAAAACGCTTATAAGTTTAAACAACATTAAAAAAAATAATTATAAATTAAAATTTTGCCTTGAAAAAGAAATTATAGATAATACAATTCACCACAATGAATTAAAAAAAAGCATATGTTCTCTTTTTAATGAAAATATTCTACATAGAAAGAATGTTGAAGCGCGCAAAAGTAGTCCAAAAGAAAAAATTGAAATGAACGAAAGTAATAGAAACTTGTGCAATGAAAGTTACATAAAAGTGATTAAAGAAAGTAGTGAAAATGTAGATAATGATTATTTGTATAACAAGAATTGTAGTAAAAATTTAGAGAAAAATACTACAATACACAAAAAAAAAAAACTAAACGTTTTTCTCGATAAAATAGCACAAGTTAAAAAGAAAAGAATTCACAAAAATTGTGATTTTTACGATAATTCTAATGACAAGAAAAAAGAAACGACATTGCTTAGGGAAAATAAAAAAAATATTCAACTTAAAGATAGTAATATAATAGAAAATTTTTCTGAAAGTAGCATAGGGTTAGTAAACAATACAAAAGAGAAAAGAGATATTTTAAGTGAATCTAAAAGCATAGAGTTTTCTGGGATAAAACATACAAGTATAAAAAGAGAAGAAAGTATAAAAAATTTTAATAGAAATATGAAACTTTTAGATAGTTTAGAAAAACAATATTTACCTTACTTAAATTTTATAAAATTAAATAATAAAAAAGAAAGAAAGAGTTCTACTCTTATTAGAAGTCTTTATGAAAATCCAACAAATTGTAAAATTAATAGTAAAGTTATAGAATATGATTTGAATTCTAGAGATTATACATTAGGAAAAGATGAAGATATAAAATTTTTTGAAGAAAAAAAAAATAAAATAAATACAGATTTTAATAAAGACACAAATTTATTAAATACTAAAAAATTAAGAAAGAGAAATCATAGTTACAAAAGTTTACTTCACTGTACAAGTTTAAAGGGTGATATAATTGACATAAAAAATAAAAATAAAGTAAATAATTCCAATTTCGTTACTCAAGAAAAAAGTAATATATTGAAAAATTTATATAGAGAAAATGTTTGTAGAGATGAAGAGATGTTAAATAGAAATTTTTCAAAAAACTTTAAAGATAACATTAAAAAGGAAGTAAACAATAAAAATCATTCCGAAATGGTAGAAATGATGGAAACTTATAAACAAAACAAATGTCTTAATGACAATGACAACTCGTATAGCAATGATGAAAAAGAATTTAATGAACAGATAAGGAAAAATAATGAATATAAAAGAAAAATATATAAAAAGGAATATTTGGAATATGAAAATAAACAACTTAAATCATTAAATGAAAAAAAAGATAAAGAAGATAATATCCATATAAATAATACTATTAATGGAAATATGTTTAATGGCATTTTTGTTGATAATAAAAAAGCAAATTATGATGTTAATTCAAATATTTTTGTGGAAAATTCAGTTAATTTGGAACAATTTTTTTTAAATAAAGCAAAAAAAGAAAAGAAAGATTTTGCTTTAGAAGACGTAAGAAATATTAAAAAAATAATAAATTGTGAAATATATGTAAACGAGAAATTTGAAAGAATACACAATAGAAATAAAATTGCAATAAATATAATTGAGAATTATTTAGAGAAAAGAAAAAGAGAATACTCGGATTTTCCAAAAGAGAAAAATAATATATACCTACAAAAAAATAATGTCATGAAAAATTTAGATGAAAAAAAAAACTTAAAATTTTTACCAGGCTTATATGAACACTACGCTTTTTTGTTACTTAACTTTAGAAATTGAGAAGCTAGTTGATAAGAAAATTTAATAATATATTTAATTATTTATATTATTAGCTTTAAGTTATTTTTTTTTAAAACATTTTTCTTATGGAAATATAGATAGTAAATTATTGAAAAATCATAAAAGGATAAAGCTAAAAGGCGGATAACTTTTCTATTAGGAAAACCTAAGGTTATAATTTCGTATAATTTTAATTGGAGCAATAATTCATTATTTTAAATTTTTATAATTATTCTAACTTTTAAAAATATAAATGTTTATATATTTATATATATATAGAAAAATAATTTAATTTAATAGTATACATAAAATATGTATGACATTAATAAAAATTAACATAAATTCATATAATTTTATTAAAAAAATGAGAATGTTATTGTAAGTATATTATTATTGAAACACATTAAAAAAATTTTTAAAAAACTGTATTATTTTATTTTTCTTTAATTATAAGGTTTCCCTATTAAAGCTTTATTATATAATTCATTAACGAAGAAAAAAAGAAAATATTTTGTTTAGATCATGGATAATTTATTTTAAAGTAAAAAAGAATGTAGAAATAATTATCAAAAAATTTTAAAATTTTTACATTTTTACTTTATTAAGATCAAAAAATGAAATAAAATCTTTTATAAATACCATTTAAGAAAAAATGTTATTTTTTTGATAATTATATTTAAATAAATGTTAGAATCATTCATCTTATAATTTTGTCAATATAAAAATATTACGCATCTAAAATTTACATATATAGGTTTTTAATATTAAAAACTATATATTGCTGAAACAAATTATATTTTATGTTGTAGTTAAAAATAATGTGTTTTAAGTATTTTATAATTTTGTATACTTATAACAATACAAAGTATACTCAATTTTAAATAAAAATTTTACATTGATAAACACAATTCTCTTATAGTAAAAATAGAACAGTATTTAATAATTTTTTTTTTTTTTTTTTTTTTTTTTTTGTTATATTTCTTCTGTTTTTTTTATTTTATTTCTAACTGTAGCGAAATATTAATTAATAATTTTTTGTTAAAAACTAAATATATGNAAATAAAAATTTTACATTGATAAACACAATTCTCTTATAGTAAAAATAGAACAGTATTTAATAATTTTTTTTTTTTTTTTTTTTTTTTTTTTGTTATATTTCTTCTGTTTTTTTTATTTTATTTCTAACTGTAGCGAAATATTAATTAATAATTTTTTGTTAAAAACTAAATATATGTTAATATATTATTAAAAAAAAATTTTTAAAAAAATGTTTATAAAGAAAAAATTTAGACTATTTATAACATTTTAAGAAATATTAATAAGTTATTTTTTTGAAAATACAAAAAATTAGTGTTTTATATATAAAGAAAAATTATATATAATTAAGGAAAAAATAATTAAATTATAATGCACTAACATTTAAACATTTATGTTTTTTTGCAATGAATATTTATATTTTCAGTTAATTGAATCATTAAGATAAAAAGATTTCTAGATTAATGAAAATTTTTAAAGTGTGCAAACATAATGTATGATGCAAAAAGGAAAAAAAATTAAGAGATAATAGGAAAGAAATTGTATTGAGTTACAATGAATAAGAAAGAGATAAAAAAAAAAAAAAAAGCATTAAAATATATATATTTTATTATTAATATTGAAGAAAAATGTAAATTGTCTGCAATAAGAACATTTAGAATTTGAAAATTTTTTTGTTATAAATTTAAAACAATGAAACAAATGCAGGTAATAATTAAATTATAAATTTAAATAAAGATTTTTTGAAAAAAAGAATTTTGAAAATTCACTTTTTTTTTTTTTTTTACTTTATTGTGTTTTACTTTATTTTATTTTACTTAATTTTGTTTAAAAAATAAATAAACTATTAATATTTCGGAATGTACTTGAAAAAGTATTCCAAAGTTTTTTGGTTATTTACTTAAAATTAAAAGTATTTAAGATTGAAAATAAGAAGTATTTTAATTTTGGAAGAATAAAAAAAAAAATAAATGCTATTATGATAAAATGAATAATAATTCTACATATAATAATTCTATTTATGAAAAATTGAGTAACTATTCAAATTCTTATACTGAAAATAATGATGTAAATTCAAATAATGATAAAGTAAAATTATCAGTACTTTGTAGGAATAATACAGCCTTAAAAGATGGAAAAATGAAAACAGAAGATGTATTTATAAAAAATGTAGACAACATATTTGAATTAAATATTTTAAATAATGTTAACATAGAGCGTTCTTCATCAGATATTTGTAATTATATAAAGACATCTAGAATAAATAATATAATTTTTGATGATAAGCATAAAAAAGATGAAATAATAGATAAGAATATAAAGGAGAACAGATATAAAAAGAAATGTTTAAATAATTATTCTTCTTCAGAAATATCCCATAGAAATATGTATAATCATTATTTATTCAATAAAAGCTATACATATTTAAAATCGAAATATGTTAAAGAAAAAAGTTTTGATTTAGAAAAAATAGAAAAAAATAAAGTTACAATACATAATATGGTAGACTTTAAAAATGAAATTAATGTAAAAAATATTAATAAACATACATGCAAAAATACTTGTGATTTAAGAACAAAAAAAAAAAGAATTTCGAAAGAAAAATTAAATGCAGAAAAAAGTTCATCTGAAGAAAAAGATAATTATCTAAAATCTAATATATCTCATAATGATGACTATGGTTATAACAATCATGTTAGCGGATTATCTCTATATGAAAATAAAAATTATGATTCATTTGTAGAATATATAAGTGAAAGTTCTAATAATTCTCTTAACAGGACAGAATATGTTTCCCTTGAAAAAAATGAGCCTAGTGAAAGCAAAAAATACACAAATAATTCAGAAAAAAATAATAATTCACCCCAAGATTCAATGAAATGCTGTGGGGAAAGATATTCAAAGGGAAATAAATGTACAATCAATGATAATTCTGAGTTAATGGAAGTAGATCTCTTAATAAACAGTGAAAAAAAATCACATAATAGAAGAAAGTTAATATTTTATAATTATGATGATAAGAAGAAATTTACAGAATTTCTTATGGCTGAGATAAAAATAGAAACAAAAATGTATAAATTAATTTTATTTATTTTTATTTTAATATTATTATTGTTATCTAAGAATATTTCTAATTATATAGTTATTACAAGAAAATGCTACAATATATATGAAAATCCAATTAAATCTATAAGGAGAATACTTAAGTTTATATTTATAGCTCTTAAAATATGTTATAAATTTTGTTGTCCTCTATATTTTTATTTGATATCTTTTTTATTTATTATTGTCTTACGAATATTTGTTATTCTAAATATTCCAATTATTTTTTTACTACTATATGCTAAATTTGTTTTGAGAAATGAAGAATCCACTGCTAGATTGTATTTTATTTTTCTTTTTAACATTTATAAGTATTTTGTTTTTCAATTTTCTTATTTTTTTAAAAATTTTACAGAACAAATTTTTTTAAGTGATTCTTTAACATTTATATCTAGATCAGTTGGCTTAGCTATCAGTTGCATGTGCAAAGTATTACAAAAACTTTATAATCATATAATCCATATATTTTCATAATTTCAGAAAAAAAAATCCGTAATGACAAACAAGTTTCATGAATTGTATAAGAGTATTATGTCTTTGTTTAGAATCATTTATTACTACGAAACTATTAATAAAAAAATATTAACTAAATTAGTACAAGAAAAGGAATAACAATCTTATAAGTAATGCTAAGTATTACCAAGAATGAAGTAATAAGAAAGCACTAATTAACATAGCTTATTGTTTTCTTAATTGTAAAATTGATAAAACTTTATGATTTCAGAATTAAATTATAAATGTTGCAAGTGTAAATTCAGAATTAAATTTTATGTAAAATAATAGATAAAATATATATATATATATATATATATATATAAATATTGTATTTTGAAAATACCTTTAAAGAGGTAAAAAGCATTATATGAAACTAAAAATTAAATAAATAAGAAAATGAATTTTTAAAATTTACAAGTTTGACCTTTTTATTATAAAATTTTTTTTTTATATTTTCAATTAAAAAATGTATTTTTAAAGAGAATATCAAACATATTTTAACATTGCTAAAATAATATATTAAAAAATAAAAAATAGTACTCAAGTTTTGTTATAAGCCTTTAGTTTCATATTTTCATTCAGAAATACTAATTTTTTTTTTTTCAGTTATGTGTAATAAAAGAATATTTTTATTTCTTTAATTACTATGAAAAATTTAAACAGTGCAAATGAAAAAAAAAAAAAAAAAAATTGAGCAATTTTTTTTTGTTTTATTAATTATTCGTTAATTTTTTTAATTTATATATTTTTATAAAAATCGATATTTAATTTAAATAACTACGATTAAAATATAATTAATGATCTTTAATCAATATATAAATCATAAAATTAAAAAGAAATTTTGTTTTTATATATTAAAAGATTAAAAATCATAGAAATTTAAGAGAATATTGAATTATCAAGTTATTATTCACTTTAGAAGAAAAAACTTAATATGGACATTCGTACAAAAACTGTGAATTCAATAATATTTTCATTAAAAGGCTGTAAAAATAAAAATAAATGTAATTCTTTTTTTTTTTTTAGTCTAATATAAATGTATATATGCACATACATTCATTTATTAAAAATGTTAAATTTACTTCATTTATAGATATATTGTTAATAAATGAATTACTTTCACTTTTTCCACTTCATGCTGAAAAGAGTTTAAGATTATGTTTACAATGGAAAATTAAAAAATACACATTAATAAAAGAAAGTTTATTTTCTAAGGATTTTAAATTTTTTGGAAATTCATTAAGGATAAATAAAAAAACACTAAAAAAAGAAAATAAAAAATCTTTTAGTGATACTAATGTTGTACACAAAGAGGAAGGATTAGGAAGAAACATATTTAATAAATCTAAAAAGAAAAAATGGAAAAAAACGAATATACATTTTTTTGTAGTTAATGGAAATAATAAGTATATCGTCTTAAAAAATTTTTGTTCATGTTTTTACTTTAAGGAAAAGGTGTTATGTAGTAATAGTGATGTTTTATGTAAACATATTCTATCCGTTCTTTTAGCAAAATGCTTCAATTGTTATTCAAATATTTGTTTAAACGAAGATTTATTTTATGAATGGTATATTAAAAAATTACATATTTGAAAAAAAAAAAAGAGAAGAAAAAATTTTAGTTTTTATAAACGTGTATATATATAAAAAAAAAGCATATAAAAAATATTAAAATGAGCAATTACATAATATGCGCAGTTTAAAAAAAAAATTAACAAAATAATCATAATATATATATAAAAAAAAAAAAAATTCTCTTTAAATTAAGTTTTTTATAAAAATTAAAATTATTTTCTTAAAAAAAATATGAATATCATATAAAATTTTTGTGATTTATTTTTTTTAACTTTTTTTAATTAACGATAAAAAAAAAAATTAAAAATTTTTAAACTTTAATATATTTTATACTAAAATAAACTACAAATTTAATATGAAAAATAAAAAAAAAGTATAATAAAATCAAGATAATTTACATATTTTGAAAAAAAAAATTTATTTTTTTATCTAATAAAATTATTTCTATTATTTACTTTGCATTTTGAAATGAATAGGACTTTTAATTCAATTTTCTCTTATTGGATAATAATAAATAAGATATATTTTGTAAATCTGTAAAAATATAAAGCAATAATAATAGGTCTTATTTATTATTGAAAAATTTCCTTTTCTATGTTATAAAAAATTATATAATAAATAAAGAGAAAAAAAGGAAAAGGAAAAATTAATAATGAATTACATATAATTCATATTCCGGTAATAAATATCTTCATTTTTCTAAAAAAAAAAAATTACTAATTACAAATTTCAAAATAAATTAAAGTTCTTTTTCCTCTTTTTTTTTTTCTTTTATTTTCCTTTTTTCTTCTATTTTCATATATATATATATAATTTATCTATTAGCGTGACTAAGAGTTTTTGACCTTGGTGGGAAAATATATGAACCATCGATACGAGCACACATATGCTCTTCAAGTTCCTTTCTTAATTGATTTTTAACATTTTCATCATTTATTTCAGTAAACCATATTTCTATTCTTATATAACCAAAGCGTGCTATATTTAATTTATCTACTAATCTAATTCCAGTTATTAGATCATAATGCTTCAAATTACATCCAATAACTGCTAAAACAATATTATTCCAGAATTCATCTATTTGGCTATATGGATAATCTTTAGGCAATATTTTGTACTCAAAGTGACCTCCTTCAGAATTAGCTGGATCTTCCCACATAGGCTGAATATTGTCTCTAAATATCATGAGAGCATCAACAATTCGAAAAATTCCATCTTCTGATAACCTTGTCATACTCTTCTGAGTAAGCAAGTCACTTGGCTGGGGTAACCTATTCCAGAGTTGCCAAAACTTCTGAACACTATTAAATTTAGCTAATGGTCTTGTATAATCCTTATAATTATTGCTCTGCTTAATTTTGTTATCTGATACTTGTTCCCATATAACCCAATTATATTGTAATAACAAAGGATTAGATAAGTCTATTTTAGTTGCTTCTAATTTTTCATTTAAATCAATTGCATCTCTACTGTTTCTATTAAAAGTTAAATACTTCATTTTATTGTAAAAAATAAAATATATTTTACGTTTAAAAATATATTAATATTTTTTAGTTTTTATGTACTTCTTTTTTATAAATTTTCAAAAAGTAAGTACGGAAATACTATAAGAAAAAAATATTTGTTCTTTTTTAAACACAAAAAATAGAAAAAATATGCTTAAAATTTATACTAGCTCTTATATCTATAAATTCAAAATTTATGTGTAGATATAAAAAAAAAATATATATAAAACGAAAATTTTTATAAAAATTTTATTAAAAAAAAAAATAAGTTTTCGTATTAAACTAATTTTTAATTTCAATTTATAACAATAAAAAAAAATAAAAGAAAAAAATTAAAAGAAAAATTAATGACAGCATTATTAATCCAAATATATATATAAAACAAAATGATTAAGAATAAATTTTTTTTTTTTCTTATGGTAAATAATGAATGAGTAAACATTTGCAAAAAAAAAAAAAAAAAAAAAATTCTTAAATATTATCAATATTTAAAAATTTAAAATTTTTTTTTACATTAAAATAGCTTACAGAAAAAAAAAAAAAAAACTGAAATAATTACCAAAGGCAAAACAGTTATATGTATGAAAGACCTATTTTTTTTTTTTTTTAAATATACATATTCTTCATAAATATGCATGCATTTTTAACTTTAAAATTGTAGAATTGATAAAATTGATAAATTTTTTAATCTTTATAAAATTATGATTTATTGATTTTTCAAGTAATATATGTATTCCAAAAAATAAAAAACATTTCTTTAAATAACGAAAAATTTAATAATCTTTCAATTTTATTTTATAACTTAAAGAAAATATCTTTTAAAAATTCTGTAATCAAATTTTGTTTATCCACAATTTATTATTTATTTAAAAATTATTTTGAAGTGAAAAATTCAAATTGAAAACATATTTATATTTTTTTTTATTATTCTCGTATAAATGAATTAATACATTTAAAGTAATTGGAAAACATATGTAAATTTTTAAAGTGCTTATTCAATCATTTATATCAATAATTTATTATGTAATTAAATAAAAAAGGAGTCCCATATAAGTTGAATTTTTATAAAAAATGAGTAGAAACATTTGAATACAAAGATAAAAAAAAAAAGTCTAAAATTTTTAGAAAATGTATTTTTTGTCTGGCATACTTTAATATAATAAGTTATAATTACTTTGCAATGTATTTTATTTAAGAATTAAATCATTTAGCTATTTTTTTTTTTTTTTGTTTTAAAAAAAAATTTATGAATTTATTAAAATTTATGAATTTAATAAGGACAGTATTTTGTGTTTTTTATATTTTATTAAAGTAATTTTTTCAAAAACTCTTTATCATAAATATTCATTTAAATTTTATTTCTGTAACATAGTATGTTAAATTATTTTAATAATCGTAGTAATTCATTTTACAAGTTTATTTACATAAATATAATTTTATTCTTTATTTTATGGAAATATAATATAATATTTTCATCGTTAAAAAGCATAAAATTACATCTAATGTGATTTAAATATTTTAATTTAGTGGTATCAAAGTAAAAGTAAAAAAGTAGAAAATTATATGAAGATAAATAAGTTTTAATTGTGTAATTTATTTTATACATTCTTGTTATTCACATATATATAATAGAAATTATTTTTCTAACAAGAAGAATATAGCATTTTTTGACTAATAAATACTACAATTTAAAGAGAAAATTTTCAAAATTTATTCATTTTTTACCGTGTATAATGTAAAATGTTCCAAAAGGAGGTTCTGAAAAATATTTAAATAATATATTGCATGTATGATAACGTCAAATATTAATGTATTGTCTTTATTATTCAAAAATCTAAAAAATACTATAAAAAATTAAATATGAATTTATTTTTTCTGTTAAAGTATTATTAATTTTAATTATTAAAATGTTTATGTAAACTTTTTATACAATTTAATAAAGGCACATAAAATATATTTTTCACCATGGTTACCTTAAATTTAAATAAATTATAAAGTACCTTTTTAAAGATTGAATATTAGATGCAATAAAAATAGTAGGAATAATTTGAAAAATATAGTTTCGTTACTTCGCTAATACTAGGGTAATATAATAAAATGGGAATATATATAAAATATTATCATTCTTGTGTATGATCAAACTTAAAAATTATTTATAAATGTTTTAATGAAGTATAATTTTAAAGTTTCTCTTTTCAAGTAAAATTTCAGATATTTACTACCAAAGTAATTCAAGAATATTCATAAAATATATATATGTTTGTATGAAAAGACAAATTATTAATTTGGTGTTGTTACAACCACAGGTAACTCCATTATATAATGAAATTTATCAGAAAAAATAGTCTTTTAATTTTTTTTTTTTTTCTATTATATTATTAAGTATTAGAGTTACAGAAATTTAAGGAAATAGTGTATTATAAGCAAATATAGGAGTTAATAAATGTATAAGTGAATAAATAATTCAAATATAAAAGAATATTTTTTGTTACTATAAAATTTGAAGAGACAATAAAAAAAAAATGGCATCAGAATAAGAACAAATTTATATTATAATAAAGACAATAATATAAATTGAAAAATGTTATGTAACTATGATATTGAATAAATTATAAATAAATTAAAATATATATAACAAATTTTAGGTTATCGCAAAATTCCAGATATATATTCTATTATAAAAAATATATATAATATATTTTTTCAGATTTTCTTAAAGTAATTAGAAAATATATATCATTTCACAAATATTATTTCAAATCTAAGTATAGACTTATATTATCTATGAAACCAAATAGTATATACATATGTAAAAAAAAAAAAAAATTTTAATTGAAATAATATTTTATAATTTATGCTGCATATGATATTATAGGTAATGGTATAATGTAAATAAAACTAGTGAATATATATAGAATTGAAAATTTAAATGTATATAATATGCAATTTTCAGTGCTTATAAAAATAAGTAAAAAATAAATTATTTAAATATAATATGAAATATTATTACGTACTTATCAAAATATTTAAAAAAAAAACTTTTCTTGTTTATCCAAGTAATAAATGTATATTTTTATATAATTGAAATATTTATATTATTACACCTTATGTTATTTTTTATTAAAGAGAAAAAAATATTAACTTTTTTATATCTATTTTTCCTGTTTTTTTTTTTTTTTTTTTTTTTTAAATTTATGATGTTAGCTTTTGCTTAAAGTAATACAATTTTTTGTGCAAAACTTTATAATTTTATACCTAAAGCTTAACCAGAAATAAAATTCATTAAAAAATAAATAATTACATTGAATCAGCTAATATATTTTTTTAACAATTTTAGCTATATATCTTTGGCGAGAAATTTTAAAGGTGAACATGTGTCAATAGTTTTTTTTTTCTGTCAAAAGGATATATTGAATGGTTAATAGAGATACAACGGTTGTTCAACTTAAAAGTTCTATTAATATAAAAAATGCTGTTTAATTTTAAATTGAGAATCAGAATAGCATGACGATGTTTTTTTTTTTAAAGTAATAATGAAATTATGAAAACATCAGCAAATATTATGTAGCTATTTAGCTATTTAGATTTTTAGCTACTTATAAAAAAAAAAAAAAAAAAAAAAAAAAAGAAAAGAAAAAAAAAGAAAAATATTTACAACAAATTTAAATTTAAAATAATTTTGTATTACTATTATTATTTTATTTTATTTTATTTTATTTTTTTTTTTGTACAAAAGTTTATAAATTGTACATTTTTTAATTTTTCATGGTTTTTATTAATAATAATAAAATTTGTTGTCTAATTAACAAAATACTTTTTTATTGTTTTTTTAGTTTTCATGTATTTTATTGTTTTTTATAGTTTTTATATTTTTTAATCTTTTTTTAAGTAATTCATTGCTTAAAGACAATCATATTTACGCTATTTTTAAGAATATTTTCAAGTATTTTCTTTTGAATGTTTTTTTACTTGAAATATTTGTATTTTTTCCAGAATAGTATTTAATATTTTTTATAACATTAATTTTCTATATTTTAAATGAAAGATAGAAAACATATCATTTATATTTTTGAATAAAAAAAAAGACAAATGAAAAAAGCATTTGTGTTAATATTCTCTTGTCTCGTACTTTTTCTGCATTTTAACATTGTAAAAACTGAAAGTAACAAAGATGAATCTTTTCATCATGATAAATTGATAAATAAAAATCACATAAAGTCAAAGAATGCAGATTATTCAAAAAAAAAGACCTTCCTTCAATTTAAAGCTACAGCAAACGAAGCACCGTGTATTGGATATGAATGCTTTTGTATGAATTACTATGATTTAACTTTAATTTTAGATGAATCAGCAAGCATAAAATTAGATAATTGGGTAAATAAAGTTGTTCCATTTACTAGCGAAATTATAGAAAATTTAAGTATAAGTGAAAATGAAGTACATGTAGGAATTGTGTTATTTGGTATTAAAAGTAGAGATTACGTCAAATTTAATGAAAATATAAAGTATAAAAAAGAGGATCTATTAAAAAAAGTAGATAAACTAAAGAGCAATTATGGCAATGTAGGAGGTACATACATTATAAAAGCACTAGAATATTCAATGAAAAATTACACGAAAAATAAAAATAGTAGACCAGATGCACCCAAAGTAACAATACTTTTTACTGATGGCAATGATAACGTTGCAAAAGACAAACAACTTTATGATACTGGGTTATCGTATAGGAAGGAAAATGTAAAATTATTAGTTATTGGAGTTTCTAAAGCTATACATAATAAATTAAAATTAATTGCAGGTTGTGAAATAAATGATTCATGTCCATTTGCTATGAAGGTTGAATGGGCGAACTTGAATGATATTACAAAGTTATTAACCGATAAAATATGCAATACAGGACCTATAACCGATCCAAAACCAGATCATAAACCATGTAATGGTGATGAATGTTTCTGCGATGATTATTATGATTTAACTTTAATTTTAGATGAATCAGCAAGTATAGGTTCTAAGAAATGGAAAAGTGATGTCGTTCCATTTGCAGAAGAAGTTATAAATAACTTAAGCATAAGCAAAGATAAAATACATGCAGGTGTTATGCGTTTTGCTATTTATATGAAAACTGATGTCAGTTATGATCAAGAAGCAAGATACATGAAAAATGATTTAATAAAAATAATTAGAGGATTAAAAGATAAATATGGCAATGGAGGAGGTACACATATTGTAGAAGCTCTAGAATATTCACTAACAAATTTCACGAAACATCCGAACAATAGGATAGATGCACCTAAAGTAACAATTCTATTTACTGATGGTAGTGAAAATTCTAGACCCATTAGTGCAGTACGTGATATAGGTTTATTATATAGAAGAGAAAATATAAAATTATTAGTTCTAGGAGTTCATTCTGTTGATATCAACAATTTAAAATTATTGGCTGGTTGTAAAGAAAATACTGATTGTCCATTTGCTATGAAAGCAGAATGGGATGAACTAAAAAATATATCAAAAATATTTACTGATAAAATATGTAATACAGGACCAGTACAAAATCCAGATTTAGAATTACCAGTATCTCCACCAAATTTTACTCCATGTTCAAAACCACAGGATTGTTATTGTATGGATTTTTACGATTTAACATTAGTTTTAGATGAATCAGCTAGTATATCTGATTATAGATGGAAAAAAGAAGTTGTTCCATTTTCAGAAGAACTCATAAAAAACTTAAATATCAGTTTTTCTAAAATACATGTAGGAGTTATGTTATTTGCTGAATATAATAGAGAATTTGTTAGATTTTCTGATAAAGTGAGCTATGAAAAAGAAAATTTACAAAAAAAGATAAAAGAACTTCAAGGGGATTATATTCGTGGAAAGAAATCACATATTATTAATGCTTTAAGCTATGCGTTAACATATTACTCGAAATATCCAGGCAGACCTGAGGCACCTAAGGTTACTTTATTATTTACCGATGGTTATGATTCTGACCAATCAGATGAAGAATTATATAATGTAGGTTTATTATATAGAAAAAATAATGTAAAATTATTAGTTATAGGAGTTTCTATGGCTAATGAGAACAAATTAAAATTGTTAGTCGCTTGTAATCAAACAGGACCATGCCCATACGTTATTAAGACCGAATGGATAAATTTAAAAAGTTTACCAAAAGCAATGATAGAAAAGATATGCGTTACAGGACCAGTATTACCACCACATATTAATCCACCAACTTTATGTAAAGGAGATGAATGCTTTTGTCACAATTATTATGATTTAACTTTAATTTTGGATGAATCAGCTAGCATAGGTCACATTAACTGGAAAGAACAAGTTGCTCCATTTACAGAAGAAATTGTAAAAAATTTAAAGGTTAGTGAAAATGAAGTGCACATAGGAATTTTTCTATTTGCTCAATTCAACAGAGATTTTGTAAAATTTTCTGAAGAAGAAAGTTATAAAAAAAATATTTTAACACAGAAAGTCGAAAATCTAAAAAATGATTATAAGGAAGGAGGATATACATATATAGTAGAAGCATTAGAGTATGGATTGCAAAATTACACAAAAGATCCAAGCAGTAGATCAGATGCGTCTAAAGTGACAATATTATTTACTGACGGCAATAATACAAATCCTAGTGAGGATATTTTAATTAATATTAGTTCAATGTATAAAAATGAACAAGTTAAATTATTGGTGCTTGGAGTTGGTAATGCTACTATATACAAACTAAGATTATTAGGAGGATGCCACAAAACAAATGGGGACTGTCCTACTGCTATAAAAATAGATTGGAATAATTTAAAAGATATATCAGCATTAATGATCGACAAAGTATGTAATACAGATAAACCAAGTACTATTCCACAAACGTGTGTAGGTGATGAATGCTTATGTAAAGATTATTTTGATTTAACTTTTATTGGGGTTCCATCAAAACAAGGAAATAATAAACTATCAAGCGACATTATTCCGTATGCTGAACATATAATAAACAGTTTTAATATTGACGAACAGCATGTTCATGTAGCAATATCTATTTATTTAGGAAGTAAAACAATTCAGATAGGTTTTGATGATGTTAATAGCTATAATAAAAAAGAATTATTGATGAAAATACGTAAAATGGACAATATATATGCGATGAGTAAAACAAATATCGCGCATGCTCTAGAAATGGGATTAAAACAATCTTTTGGAAATGGAAATAGAGAAAAGGCCCCTAAAGTTACATTATTACTAACAAATAGTGATAATGACATATCTGAAGAAGGAATATTACAACAAGTATCAAATAATTATATAGATAAACAAGTTAAACTAATAATAATAGGATTAGGAAAATTACTTATAGATAAGTTAATTATTGCAGGTGGATGTAGTTTAAATTATAATAACTGTCCAAATGTGTTACAGTCAACTGATTCTTCTTTTTTTAGTGAAGTAGAAGATTTTTTAAAAGAAAATATATGCAACAATAATGTTGATCCAGTTATACCTCCAGCTTTTTCATGTGATGATCCATTATGTGAAGAATGTGATGATGATTTATGTGATAATAATACTTTATGTAAAAAGGCCTTAGATATAGCAATTGTTTTAGATCAGTCTCGAAACATTAGTAATGAGCAGTGGAAAACATATGTAAAACCATTTGCTATAAATACAGTAAAACAAAATTATTTGTCGAAGTATAGGACTCATATTACAATAGTGAAGATGAGAAAACATACAAAAGAGAAATGGTCATTAAATAAAAAAATTAGTTACAAAAAAAATAAGATTATTAAAAAAATAAACAAATTGTTAATGTCACCTTCAAATTATAAGAATATAGCTGATACTTTTAAACACTTAAGGACTAAAGTCTTCACAAAAACACCTAAATATAAAAAAAAGCTAATTATAATGTTAGTTGAGGGAAAATCAAATACTAGTTTGAATGATTTAAGAAGAGAAATTGAATTATTAAAAATAAATAAAATAGATCTTTTTGTATATGCAATAAATAACATAGATGACAATGAATACAAAATACTTGGAAATTGTGAAAAAAGTACATTATGCGAAAATATAGTTAAGGTTTCTTGGGATAGTTTGTTATCTGATTCAGATACACACATGAATTACATCTGTAATAATTATCCTGACGATGCTGAGTGTAATGAATGGGATGAATGGAGTAAATGTCCTGAAACATGTGATAATGCTATGAGCAAAAGAGAAAGAAAAGGTCCTTACACATTAAAAGGAGAGGGATTTATAGGTGAAAAACATGGAAATTCATGCATAGAATTGGGTTCCCTTGAATATAGACCATGTCCCATAAAAGAAGGATGTAACGATATTTGTGGAGATTTTGGTGAATGGAGTCAATGCAGTGCCACTTGCGGTGATGGTATTAGAATAAGAGAAAGAGAAAATTCGTTAGACAGTGAAGAATGTAAAATTTTTAATAAAACTGAAATTGAATCATGTAATATTCAAGATTGTGATAATAGTGAAATATGCGAGGAAATTGGAGAATGGGGTGAATGGTCTTCTTGCTCAAAAACATGTGGATATTCTACTAAAGAACGAATGTTTATCATATTACCAGAATATGTAGACAAGTATCCAGATTGTAAATATAAAGAACAGGTTGAGATAGATGTATGTTCAGTTCCAAAATGTGATGATGAAAAATGTTTTGAATGGGGAATTTGGGGTGAATGGTCTGCATCATGTGGACAAAGAAAAAGAGTTCAGAGGGCAAATTTGAATATAGATTTATCTAATATTAATTATGAGGATACAAAATCAAACGAATGTAAAGAATACTATAGAGATAAAGTTGAATATGATGAAACAATTCCTTGTCCTGGGAATTCATGCGGAAATTGGACAGAATGGTCAACATGTGATAGAACATGCAATGTCGGAGTGAGAATGAGACATTTCGTTTCTCATGTATCTGGTATTAGTGGAGATGATATTGATGAATGTATAGAACAATACAATGACATAGAAACAGAAGCATGTTTGGACTTACCTCTATGTGATACAGGAGATTGTGATGATTGGGAAACATGGATTGACTGTAAAGAAGAAGATACTTGCCATAAATCAAGTAAAAGAATTCTTACAAGAAAAGCAGAATTGTTGAATAATAAAAAAAAGAATACATCGGAATTTTGTAATGATTTTAAACTATTTAGAGAGGAAGAATGCTCTGAATCGAATAAGCCTTGCAATGATGCTCTATGTAATGAGTGGGAAGAATGGGGAGATTGTTCAGCTACTTGTGGAACGTCATTCAAGATAAGGAAAAGAAAAGAGCCTTTGGAGTTAATACCACCATCAAAAGATATAAATGGAAATATGGGTTTAACCTGTGAACAACAAAATATAAAAATAGAAGAAAGAGAGGCTTGTGATACTTCAGTTTGTTCATCCATTATAAATGATACACCTAATGGTACACATCCAAATGAAGGTGAAAATAAAGACGACTCAAATAAAAAAAAAGGTTTCGGAACAGGTGAAAAAGTTTCCTTAGCTGCAGGTGTAATTGGATTAATAGCTTTAGCAACAGGAGGTTTAATATATGGCTATAATACTTTTAATGGCGGAGAAATTCCAGACAACTCCAATATGGAATTTGAAAATGTTGAAAATAATGTAGGTGAAGTTGATGAAACAAATGAAGACTTTGAAGTAATTGACGCAAATGATCCTATGTGGAATTAAGAGCATTTGTAAAACTATTTTTCTTTGAAATATTAAGTGAAATCATTTCACTTTTCTTATATTCATTTATTTGCCTTTTTTCCTTTATTTTGTCGTACACTTTTTTTTTTGTTATATTTTTAATTTATATATATATTTTTTATTCTAAATATAAAAATATTATTTAATTATAAAATATTTTTTTTTCTTTGTCATACACTTTCATTTGTGATACATTTATATATATGTTTTGTTCATCTTAATTATAGATAATTTAACGTAATCAACTTTTAACTTTTTTTTAAATTTTGTAATTTATCAAAATTTTGTATTCTATAAATTAATACTTTTATTAAAATACTAATGTAAATTTGTAAAAATAATTTATATGTTATACTTAGACCTTTTTTCTAATTTGCCTTTTTTAAAATAGAGTTTTAAATTTTGTTTAAAAAATTTTTAAAGTAATTTATAATTTTACATAACATTCGATGACAATAGCGCTGTTAATTAAAAAGTGCCTTATCACTTCAATAATATTCATTTAAAAATGGTAATTTATTTCATGATATATTTAGAAATTGTTAGAAGAGGCAAAATTTTTTAATTCATAATTTAAATATATATCTTAAATTATTAAAAATAAATGCACTAAAATTTTGAAAGTTTTTTCATTTTGGAAAAATTAACCATTATGGGATTATATTATTGTGATACTTTTAAAAAAAGCAAGTGAAATTAAATTATTACTAATTTAAGGTGGAATCAATAATTAAGAAAATTAAAAGAAATGTTTAATGTTTTTAGACATAATGGCTTTTTCTTATCGATTTTTTTTTTTAATTAGAGCTAATGATGAAAAAAAAATATAGAGAAATATGCATTATTAAATAAATCTTAATTGAAATGTGAAATTTTCTATAAAATTATATTATTAAAAAAATAGGCATATATGTTAGGTTAACCTAAAAAAATAAGTAACAATTATATATATGTCCATTTAAGCAAAATAATAAAAATATCTAAGAATTAAGAAAAATTATTATAATCCACTAAAATTAAAATTTTTTTTTTTTGAAGAATGAATAAATTATAGACATTAATAATTATGTATGGAAAAATAATTATAAAACAGATTTATTAAAAATATATAAAAAAAAAAAAATATATATAATTAAACATGCTTGTAATTTTTATATATTTATATAAAACACATTCTATAAAATAATATTAAAATATAAAATAGCTTTTAAAGATCAATTACACTAAGATAACTAAAATATTATTTATAAATATTAAAAGTTATATATAAAAAAAAAATTGAAAATATACCTAGATAAAGAAAAAATGAATTTTCAATTTATTATGAAACATAATAATCTTAAAAAGGAAAAAAACAAAAATAGAGACAATTATTATTTTGAAAATCTTATAAATGATAATAATGAGAAATTTCTTGAAAATTATCAGAATTATTTAAAAAATACGAACAAAATTTTCATATGTTCGCGTCATAATATTTTTAATGCTTGTAATCAGAATAATTTAGAAAGAGTATAAAAATTGAAAAAAAAAAAAAAAAGGAAAATGAATAAAAAATAAGAAATAAAAAAGTTTCTTTTAATTTTTAATTAATTTAGATTTTATCCCATTATGGATCAAGTGCTCTAACAGAGGAATTCGAAAAGAAAGTAGTTCGAGCACTTAAGTAAAGCGAAGAAAAAAATTCACATGATTTTTGTTTTTTATTCTATACTTTTTACATACCTTATACTTTATAGTTTTAAATTTGAATTGCTTGAAAACTATAAGATGCATAAAGAAGATATATATTTGGTAACATGCTTATATTTTTAAATATTCCATATTATTTTTAATTTCCATTTATTTCCACTATTTAATTTTTAGAGAAGTTTATTAAAGATAGAAAATCATATCATAGATCATAAATTAAAACAGAAGTAAATATATTTTTTCTTTTTTTTTTTTATTATTTATTATTTTTATTGTTTTAATACAATGATTTTTATAACATTATATAAATTATTTTAGCTATAATATTAAAATGGGAAAAGTTTTATATAAAAGAAACATTCAGACATATAAAAATTATCAAAAACACAAATTAGTAATTTTATAAAATGATTTAATGAATATATAAGAAAAAATAATAAAAATTCGTATATATATTTTTTAGGAAAAAGAACATTTAAAGAAAAGAAAGAAAATGATTATTATAATTAGATGTATTATAAATTCAGCATTTGAATTAAGAAAAATAGAAACTAATTTTGATAATAATTTCTTTTATGAGAAAATGTTTTTTTTAGAAAATTTTTTTTTTGTTAACCAAATAAAAAACATTAATGAAGTACTTCAAAATAATGAGCTTATGAATGAAGCAAATCACATCAAGATTCATCATGATAAAATTGAAAAAAATTTAAAACATTACAGTGAATATAAGAAATATTCAAATAATTTTTATATAAATTTTAACTTCTTAAAGTCATTAAAAATAAATAGATTTTTTCTATTAAATCTACGAAATATTTATGGTTCGATTCATCCTTTGAGAATTAAGAAAAGCTATATATATATATATATATATATTGAATAATTTTAACATAACATATATAAAAATGAAGATATTAAAAAAAAAAAAAAAATAAAGTTATAAATATACATTCTTTCTTTTTATTTTTAAGTAGAAAAAAAAAATTATAGTATCCAAAAGTTTGGTTATTTATATTTATTAGAATATTTAAACAATCAAGGAATATGGTCTATTATAAATAATACAAAATTGAACAATAGGAAATTAGAAATAAAATCTAGAAGAGATTATATGGATTATAAAAGAAAAATATTGGAGAATTTAGAATATATAGATTTTAATTATGCAAAAGAAAAGATGGTTAAAAACAAAATAGGAGAAATATTTAATTTTAGTAAATTTTATTTAATAAAAAAAAAATTTTTTTTTAAATTACTTTTTTGTTTTAGGGTGATAAATATTTCTATGTTTTACAGAAAGAAGATATTGAAAAAAGTTATTAATTTTTTATATTAAAAATCGTATATATATTTTTAAAATATCTATTTATTTCCATATATTTCTTTTAAATAGAAATAAAAGGATTAAATATTTTGAAAATTTTAATATTAAAAGCTTTTAGACAATAGTGTGTTTATATTATAAAAAAGAAATGAATAACATTTTAAATATTATAATTCTTATTGTAATTAATTTTTTTTAATTTTTTTTGATAGTTCTAATGAGAAGAAATTTAATAAAAAATATAAATACCCATTAAGAATTATAATAACTGGAAAAATAAAAAGAGGTTTAGAATATTCAATAAAAAAAAAAAAAAAAAAAAAAAAAAAAATATATATATATATATATAAATA